GCCGTCCGGGCCTGTCTGTGCCGCCTCCGCCCCGTCCCCTGAGCCCTGCAGAGCCACCTGCTCTGGCCTTCGTGTTGCTGTGGTTTTCAGAGGAACGTAAAGCACGGTGCCCAATCCGATCCCCGCAGCCTGTTGGAGCCACAGGCCCCTCCGCTCGCAGGACTTGGGGAGCGAGGGGGGCGCGGGCTCCGCCGAGGGCCGGGCCGGGCAGTGCGCCCTCAGCCGTCCCGGAGCCCGCCCGGACAGGCTTCCGCACAGGCCGGTTTGGTTACTTCAGGTCCTCGAGGTGCTGATAATTAACTTAATGCTAATTTAAAAAAGACTTTCAGTTCTATTTCTGATGAGTTTATACCCTCAAAATTCTGGGTTCGCTTTAGTTTTGGAGACGTGAAGGTGTCTGCGTGGGTCTCCCCTGTCCGGCCGAGGGCCGCCGCGGCGCTGGCCGCCCTCGCTTCAGCCAGAAATTAAACAAGCGCGACCACCGCATCCAGAAATCTTTTCAAAATTGCTGAGTTCTAGTTCTTAGCAGTTTTTGCTTCCGCGGGAGCCATTCCAACACTAGCACACCTAGACACACGCAGGGTGACTTCGCTTTACCTGAAGGAGAAATCAGGCCAGTCAGGGTGCGGGGCCTGTGTCCCGCAGGGCCTGTCTCAGCAGGCCCCGCGCCTCCCGCCGTCCATGCCCTAGGGCTGGCCCTCGGGGGCCTGTCCTCAGGGGCCGTGCTCAGCGAGCTCCCCCAGAGCTGACAGCAGCCCTGCCCCCCCTTCACTTGCACTTGATAGACATCCAGCCACAAACCAATTTCCCGTGTCTTTGTGGGCAATTAGCCAGAAAAACATCAACACCCTTCATTTACCCCTCTCAGTGATACTCAACATGTCACTGCAGAGCCCCCAGACGGGCACCGGGCGGCGGGCACCGGGCGGCGGGCACCCGCTGGAGCTGCAGGGTGTGTCAGTGCTCTGGGAGGTGCCACGGGCTCCGGAGAGGGAAGCGAGTCCCGAGGGACAGGCAGGGGGTGTCCGAGGGCAGCTGTGGAAGGACTGAGGAGGCTGCCGTGTTCACGGAGACGCGGAGCACCCCAGCCTGGGAGGGGTGGGAGAGCTGTGCAGTTATGGGGGCCAGGGGAGTTTCAGGGAGAAGGTGGCAGGACATGATCACCGGCAGTACAAAGGGACCAGAACAAGGGGGTCATGTCTGAATGTCCTCCCATCTGTTGGCTTCTCGGGGTAGGTACTTGGAAGTCTTCTTTCCTGAGGCATCGATGAGCCTTCTTGGAGGAGACGCTCATGTAAACTAGAAAAGAGGAACCAAACAAACTGATCTCGAGGGCACTTGCTTATCCCCAAGAAGGTCCGCCCAGGTCCCTGGGGTCCAGTCCTGGGGTCTTGGCTACCAGGGATTTGTGGCTCTGATGTCCAGCTTCACTGGGCAGGTTCATCCCCTTCTGAGGACCTGCTCCCAGCAAGCCCTGCTAGGCTGGCACCACTCTACACCTTCCTCCTGACTCTGTTCACCCCCAGGCTCTAGCCGCCTCTGATCCAGACAGGAGAGGACTAGCATTAGCACCTAGGGGCTTAGCAACCGAAGGATCTCAAGGCATAAAAAGATCAGTTGGTCATTTTGTGAGACAGCAAAAAAGTGAGCTAAACCCTCACAAGAGAGCTAGTAGGGCTGTCTCTCTAACATCCTTCCTGGCAGCCAGCTGTCTCCAGTTAGAACTGGAGAGGTGGGGCGGGGAACAATAGGACTGATGGGTGAGAATGACAATCACTCATGACCCAGCTTTTCTATGAGTGTAGGGGGTAGATATTGACTTTCATGTCCTCTCGACCTCACTGTCGTCAAGCATATCCCGTGGCCTCCCAGGAAGGCGACACAGAGGAGATATCAGGCAACCTGCTGACCATGCTCCTCTGCGGGAAAAGCCCTCATCCACCTTCAGACTGAGGTCCCAACTTGCACTTAGGAAACCGAAGGCCAGGCAAGCCTGGGCTCATTCCCAAGCAGCAAGGGTGGCCTCAGAATGCTGAGGACCTGGGAGAAAGCTGCTTCTGTCTGGTTCTCTAATCAGCTCTGTGTCTCAGACCCCAAACCTGAGGGTGTCCATTCCAGATGGCAGACAAGGGAGCCAATGTCCTTCATCAGAGAGCAGAAAAGGGCCTGCAAGTCCCTTTTCTTGGTGTCAGCCTCACTCTCCCATTCTGTGCTCCCTAAGCCTCAGTTTCTCCTCTAGACTTTATGGAAAGAGGGAGCTCTTTGGGTTCCACACTTAGGACTTTCTCCCTAGGGCATCACATCAGTCCTCTAGGGATAAAGCCCAAGCTCCCTCTCCTGGCACACAGAGCCCACTCACCCCCAGCTGCAGCCATGCCTGCCACCTGCTCAGCCCAGCGCACCAGGCCCATTAATGCCTCCCTGCCTGCTCCTGTAGGGGGCACATGGGCCTCCTGAACCCAAGCTTCCTCATGTGCAGAAGGTGGAAGGACAGACACATCAGCAGATCCTCTCTTTACTAGAGGGTTTAGGATGGAGGATTCGAGGTGCTTCAAAGCACAGAGGAGTTCTGAACATAGAGGTTCAGAAATCTCTTCCTGTAGAGGTGACATCTGCCAGGCCCTATTGATGTTCCTAAATGTTTCCTGTTTTAAATTGTGCTGCAATGACTATCCTCACCCCTACATCCCTATGCACATATTTGTGTATATCTGTGGGATAAGCTCCTAGAAGTCGAATTGCTGGATCAAAGGATGTAAATTTTTTTGATTTTAATAGATATTGTCAAATTATCCCTTACAGAGATTTCCCAGTGTGCACTTCCACTAATTCTGCATGAGAGAGCTTCCCCTCCTGGGGAGAACCATCATCACTTTTATTTCTTAATTAGACCCAGTGAACCTCCGGGCACTTTATGCACTGCTGAGTACCCCCCCCCCCC